TTTGTGTTAGTAGAAAATACTCACTGTTTTCACACCTTAAATAACAGTGATGTTATTTGAGGTGTGAAAATAGTATTTTTACTGTGACTGCTGTAAGACTCAGTATGACAAAAGCATTATGAATCTATGCAAATTTGTTTAAAAGGGATTTTCTGTCTTCATAGAAAAGCTGGCAGACCAAGTGATGCAAAATCCACAGGTCCTGGCAGCTCTTCAGGAACGTCTTGACAACACACCAGTTACTCCTTCCAGTTACATTGAAACGTAAGTAGTGGGCATGATAAAATACTAAAAGACTGAAGGCATAATGGAATATTGTTACTGTAATTAGGCTAGAAAATCAGAATAAATTATTCACTAAGAAAAATGGTTTACTTAACCTGTGATTCATAGTGTCTTACTTCTGGAAGAAGAGTGAAGTTTTACCTTATGCAAACTTGCAAACAAAATTTTGTCCCGTTCAATATTTACCATGGCTGTTTCTTGTTTTGGATAGAGATAACTCCCTTCCCTCGTTTGTTTCCTTCTGTGCCCCATATTCTGACAGGGTATGTGCTACAGTGACTGATGATTTCTATAACATTGCTCTTCTGGATGTAATGCAAAGTTCAGTACCTGTATATCCCTAGTTTGAAACTTAGTTTTATATTGACTGCAAAGCAGATTTAAATGCTGCCTTTAGTAAATACTTACACTTTTATTTCTTGACTGAGAATCGCTGGTTTAGACTCTTTTCAGAAAAAACCTAAGTTCTATAACGAGATCTTTTTGCATGACTGTGTCTAAATGTTTAATAGTGGGAAGTGCAGATGGGCAGTGTGTGCTTTATGAGTATGACCTGTGAAATGAAGCTTTCTCCTGTAGAGTGCACAGTTCTTATTTTTCATAGATGGATCAACACAAATCTAGTCTCAAAGTTTAGGTGTAAACAAAGGTATTAATTTCAGATCTCTGAACTACACGGGGAGGGTAGTGGCCCCAGGGAATGGAACAGAAGATAACACCTTTGAGAACAACTTGGGTAGGAGAGGATTCTTTCAACTTTTTGAAATAGGTTTTGGAGAAACATGTATGTTTGACATAAGCCTTTTATTTAAAAATTGCATGTAGTTATAAGCAACCTAATTCTCGGTAATACATGAAATAATGCTGAGGCAACTAACTTTTAACCTTAAATAATTTTGATTTTTAGCTTTCCAAAAGCAGTGATAAGAAGAATTGATGCCTTGAAAAAGCTCCAGGTGAAATGTGCCCATATAGAAGCTAAATTCTATGAAGAAGTACATGACTTAGAGAGAAAATATGCAGCACTCTATCAACCTCTTTTTGATAAGGTAGGAAAATTATGTATATAATTCTTATTTGTTTGTTCCTGTCAGTTCTGGTTATGTATATATAATTTTACATCTTCAATTACATTTTTGGGTTTTTTTATCACAGAGAAGAGAGTTTATTAATGGGGAAGCTGAACCCACAGATGCGGAGGCAGAATGGCACAGTGAAAATGAGGATGAAGAAAAACTGGCTGTGAGTATAAGCTGGGTCATCTACTGTGGATATATCAGCTTGTCAGAGTTAAATTCTTGTTGTTGCCATTGAAAGGAGTTTAGTGTCAGTGCTGTGTTCTTGTGATGAATACACTGTTCTGGCCAGTGAAAGCTTCTACACCATCAGTTTAGCCTTTGTTCAAATTTGAGGACTTGCCTTTGTTGGCACTGTTCGTAACCTGTTAACAGCAGCTTCCTGCTAATGGGTTCCATTCCAGTGCTACATGAAACCCTGAGATAATACAGGACTGGTTGGCTCTCCACCTGTCTCCATTATTTTGGGGGACATCATTAGCTTTCATTTTCTTAAATACAGGTGGGACACTTGTCACACAGCCATAAAACAGAATCAAGCTAATAGAGTGTCTGCTTGGCTGGTGGATTCCCACTTGTCCATTGAGTAGGAGCTGTCTAGATTTAGGAGGCATTTTAGAGTCTGTGGGCTGCCTGTTACTTTCCCAGCATCATTTCTAGAGACGTGTGCTCAGGCTTTGTCTCAGAAAAGCGACCTACTTAGAAAACTCTGTTTGCCATTCTGTCAGGTTATCTTTGCATTTTTTGCGTAGCCTAATTCCTTCTTGGTTTTTTTTCCTCTGTTCAAAGTGAATTGTTCTTTGTTTTTACTGATCTCCTGATGTTGAGCATGACACAGTGCTCCATGTGCATGAGCAAAAAACATTCCTTAGGCTCTGTGTAAATACAGCTTTGACAGGCCATATTCCACACAATAAAATCAGAAACGTGTCTAGATGGGAAATAAATTGCAGCTTGGTGTTCTTGGCACATCATAACCCAAGCAACTGCCAGAAACATCTTAAATATCTGCTGCTATCTAGTGGTGTAAAAGAAAAGGTGCAGCTTCCAGACTGAATTCCCAGGGTTATTTAGGATTGAGAAATTACTTCCTCATTCTTCTTTTTTATAACATTTGACATCAGTTATGTGGAAGGACATCCTGTTTCCCAAAATAGTAATATTTAGACACAGCATAACAATGAAAGATACCTGTAAAAAACAACTTTACAAGTATTCTGCAAAATGGGCAAGCTAAAAAAGCATTTCAGAGAACAAAGTTAGATTTTAAATTTTTAGATGGAATGCTGTAAAGGTGGCTTATGGAGCTACAGAAATTAGATTAATAGAAAAATAGATATGTATTTTTTCTCTTTCTAGAAAGATAAAGTGTTTTAATTATTTCTGTTGTGTCAAATCAGTGAAGCAGACACTTGGTCTATTTAGTGTTCATATAGAAGAATTTCAAAATAGTTAAAAGTAAGTCTGAATTGTGTATATGTTCAGTTGTGTAAATAAACCTTGTATCTGTTAACTTCATTTGCAGAGGAATAAAAAAGTAAATTTTAAATGTTCCTTAAACACAGCTTCAGAGATGGCAATTGTTTTGTACTTCTGTCTCTGTTTAAATTGTGACTTCTTAGTGTATTTAATAATTTCTCAGCTGTTTCTGTATTTCTTTCCCAGGGAGAACTGAAAAATGCAGTGGTAATAGATGAAAAAGCGGAAGAGACAAATGTCAAAGGAATTCCAGACTTCTGGTTTACTATCTTTAGGAATGTAGATATGCTAAGTGAATTAGTACAAGTACGTTTTTACTCTGAAATGAACAACTTCTGCTGTGTCAAATGAATTGCTGCTTTTCCTGTTAATAGTCAGTCCTTGTGGAGTGTGAGTCAATCCTTTGGTGTAAGACACCAAATCTTTTGAGTCTTTGGAATCCCTGAAGATGCTTGAAATGATGGACAAGCATTTTTAGTTTAATCCATAAAGGATTATTGTTGCAAGGTTGTAAGAATACCTTGGATTGGTTGAATTTGTGTTAAATAGCTTAGGTAGTTATGGCTGCACTTGTATTAGTGGCCTTTAATAATGTTACAGAAGAGTTCCCTGGAGTGTGTCTGCCTCTGAATCTCACTGGTAATAAATCCCTTGAGTGAAGTTACTGTATCTTCAGTAATACATCCCAGCAGTTTTGTTTACTGAAGATCAGCCCTAAAATGATTGAGAATTTAGCACATAGAATTTGCAACTATGATTAAGAAATTTAGATCTAGACCTTTACTTTAGCTCAAATTGTTGAATTAGTTATAAGGTGTGCTTCTTAATTAAGGAGTGACTGTTTTTCTAAGTATTGCCTGCCGAAATGAATTTTACTTTTTTCTGCTTAGGAATATGATGAACCTATCTTGAAACATCTGCAGGATATTAAAGTTAAGTTTTCTGAACCAGGACAGCCTATGGTGAGTTTTCTCTGCTTGTTTCTCATGAAGATTGTAGTAATGAAGTGAGCAGCATTCCAACATATTCATTCAGCTCTCTTTGGCTGTTGTGTGTGGGGGAGGTTTCTTTCTAAGGTATTATTTTCATGCATTGCCTTTGAAAGATTTATCTCCAGCTTTCCATACTTTTTGCTCTTTCATTCTTAGCCTGGACAGCTGTGACATTACTGTAGTTTCTAGATTAAAATTCTGGCTGAGATCTATCTAGTTTTTGCTTTCTTTCCTCTCAAATTCAAGTGTAGCTGCTCTTAGTAATAGAATTACATGGCTGCTTTTGATTTGAAAATGAATTGTGGGAAAGATTCTGTGTATCAAATATTATTTCAAAAGCAATATGACTTGGTAATACTAATCAAAGACAATGATTATAGATAATATGCCTGTTGAAAAGAATAGAAAATGTATTAGTATTTTAAAAGTGTTCCTCATGAGTATTCTTTAAAGTAGTACTTCATGCTTTTTTAATTTTGGAAATTTGTTCTGTTTAAGTTTGATGTACAGAAACAGATACTGTATTTCTTGAAGTTGCTCTGCTGCTTATTCAGTTTATGCAGACTATACTTATTCCTTGAACTCCCTTTGAGGGGGAGGCAGGGAGAAGGATGGAATTTGAGCCTACACATACTTTCTTTAAATTTTGTCATTCTGGCTTTTTTCTTATATTTGGTATTTTTTGTTTTGCTTTATGGAGCAATGACCTTCTGATAATGTCTGAAATAAATGCCATCATTGAAGATTCACATAAGAAAGATGGGAGGACTTTCTCAGAATAGCTTTTAATGGTTAACAGCAAGTTGTTTCAGGGCTCCTTTGGGTTCTGGTTTTTTTCCTTATTGTCTTGACTCTGCCAGTACTGAAACACTCAGGCAGATAATTGGCAAGAAATTAGAATGGCAGAGAAAAACTGAGAATTAAGTTTCTAAAGATTGCAGGGCTTAGGGAGAGAATATGAGTTTTAGGAAGAAAATGAGTTGTCTAAGCACAAAATAAAGTATTCTAAGAAATTGCCTGTTGTGTCTTGAAGCATATGTATTCAGTGGCATTGGGATGACATGGGAATAGAGGTTTTTTTTGCCTACATGATTTTTGTGTTCTCATTCAGCTTTGTTTTATAGTACCTTAAGCTGGAGAGCTCTTTACACACTGAATTTATCTGGTCTTGCACTGTTCGTAACCTTTTGGCAGCATTTTTCTGCAAATAGGTTCCATTCCAGTGCTACATGAAATCCAGTAATGGAAGGCTGACAAACTCCATGTCCCTTCTGTATTTGGAAACAAAGGATGTGTTCCTAACTGCTTGAGTGAAACCTGTTCTGCAGCTGTGTGTGACTGCCTTTCAACAGAATCTGCAATTCTTTGTTGAAAATTGGTGCAGCAGTGGTAGCTTTGTGGTGTATGAGCTTCACATAACCAGTGTGTCATAGATACACTAATTCTGCTGGGGATTAGGTTTTACTGCTGAAGAAATACATGATAATTAGGAATTTTCTGATTTACTGTTGACCCAAAACAATTAATTGTAGTTATGGCACTCCAAAAGTGGATTTACTCTACTGCAATTAAAGTGCTTCAAAGTCCTGTTTGTTATGGCCAGCACATAGAAACTTTTACCTGCATGAAGCATAAGTGACTCCATTACTATTTACTTATTTATAACCACATGGGTAAACTCATATGTATTTTATAATTATGATTTCTATTTACATATTTATTAGGACATCAGGATCCTTAGCTAGCATATTGAGACCTGGATGATGTATCTAGGTATAACTTTAAAGTAGCTTAAAAAAAGGCATTTTTTTTCTTTGAACTTCATGAGCATATATTTGATTTAAAAAAACCCCAGGGATGTCCACATAAAGAGTATTGGAAAGGTTATTACAACACTTCAAATATTATGTGGAGCTTGGAGCTTCTTTTCTCCTAATTAGCAGGTATACAGTGAGATGCTGAACTGCAGTGTGTGCAGATATTTTTGTCTTGCTGGCCCTTGGGATCCTGCATGCTAAACAGTGTCACTGGTTGGTTATTTATAGCCCAGTGATGGTTTATGGGATTATTTGGGTATGAGTGTTCGTCACTGGTAGTGGATCAGCTAAGTTTGTAGCTCTTCCCCTGAGCATGTTTGCCAGAGAGAGATTAGCCTTAGCTGAAGGCAGCCTCCAAACCATGCAGCTGTCTCGAATTGCTTTAAAGGGAAGGGAAGCTGAAATAGCCCCTGAAATCAGCACAGATATTCCAGGGTACTGCTGGGTCCCTGTGGCTTCCTGTCCTTAATCAGGGAGCACGGGCTTGGGGAGGCTGCTGCTGCCATTGGTCCCCATCACTCCTGGACCACTCTCTTAGCAGGCATGAGTCATGTGAGGAGATTGATGGGGTCTTAGAAAGATTAGGGGCCTTTGGGAGATGAGTGAGGGATAAATATCTGTGATGAGCAGGCTGTTATTAAATAACTGTCCTGAGTTATTTATCTTGTCCACGCATGAATGGCCTTGAGAAAAAGGATGGCAAGGCAGGCTTGCTGCTAACAGGCAGTTTTCTGGCCTGAGTCTGAAGAATGCCTGGGGAAGTATACTCAGGGCCAGTCTTCTGGCAGTTATGTAATGTGTTTTGTGTGCTGATTAGGGCTAATTTGTGATGCATATTACTGGGAGAGTAAATCAGATATTTAAAGTAACTGTTACACATGCTGTGGCTGGGCAGTGGTGTTGGAAGCTTTGGCTTTCAGTCCTCCTGTTGTGCTGAACTGACCTGCAGACTTTTACCCCCTTCAAGTCACTAAATCAATACTGCCAAAAAACTTTATTCTTTAGTGCCTCCCCTTTCCAAGACAGCTTTTAGTGGACTTTAAAATGTTCATAGTTGATCCTGAGTATAAAGTGAGCATTGTGCAGGGAGTTTAGAAACCTTTACTGAAAGCAGATGCATCATGGTTGCTGTGGTTTTCTGTAACTGGAGCTTTTTGTTCTCCATGTAAGAAACTGAATCCTTGCAAATAATTTCTGAGTACCAGAGGGGGTTCAAACATAGCCAGAAATATCTGCTTCAGGCTGTAAGATGTTGGTTGTAGGACTCAGTTTATGAAATCAGTGTTGCTTTGCAGGATTTTCAATTATCAAATGGAAAAGAACCCTCTGGTTCCAGGGGGACTGTGCTATTTAAATAGACTGTTGCAATCTAAATTGTGCTTTAACTGGAAATAAAGTCTGATTCACTCTCTTAAGATCATGATATTGATCAGACTTGGGGGAGCAATAGAACTGCATGGTGTTGTTACAATGCTGAAATTACTTCATAATAACAACTTCATCCTGAGTGCAAGGATGATGAGAGGTTTCCATAGGAAATGAAATCAAGACTTTTCTGAAAATACCTCTAAGCTTGCTTTTAAGACAGCAGTTCTATATGTGAAGGTGAATGAAATCTACTAATTACCTGTTTATAATTTGAATCTAAGCCAAGGTTGTTGTAGCTTCTTGCACATTTGAAATTCATTGACATTCATAATTTCCTGCTTCTGCTGTAGTTTCAAATATGTTTGACATCAATTTTTTTTTCCTACTTTCAGAGTTTGATGAATGATAATTATGCTGATTAACTATTTCATAGATGAAAGTTAGTAGTAACATAAAATTTCTTCCAGTCTTTCTCATTAGAGTTCCACTTTGGGCCCAATGACTACTTTTCTAATTCAGTCCTGACAAAAACATACAAGATGAAGTCGGAGCCAGACAAGACAGATCCCTTTTCATTTGAAGGACCTGAAATAGTTGATTGTGAGGGGTAAGGAAAACTGAAATTCAAAAAAGCTTCTGAAGTACAAATGCACAATTTTTTTTTTTTTGCTTATTTTGATAATGATTAGTAAAGATAAAATTGTTACTGACTTCAAAACTGGGTACGTTTGTAGGTATGATGATGATGTTAGTCTCAGCATGCAGAAGTAACAGATGCATAAATGGAGATATATTTTAACATTGTGTACATTTTAAACTGGACACCATTCAAATTTAATAATTCTCTGGTTAAGGTAACAAACCTTTTATTTCCAGATAACTGGGTAAATTATTTTTAGTTTTTACCTCTCACAGACCACCCCCATCCTCAGTCTGATGAGTAGCCTTGGACTCTCTTGGATTCTTGTCGTATCCTCAGCAATTTTTATTCCAGCAGTAATTGGTTTATTATTATCAGGCAGGAATAGGTTGTATTTATCATGTGTTCTTTCAGCCTGCTTTGAGGCTGGAACATAAAGGTTATGCAGTTTGATCCTGACAGCTGTGGCTAGTGCAGCAATTTTTTTAAAGTTTATTTTTATTGTGTCTGCAACACATTCTCAGAAAACAGCTGTGGATGGTGAATTCTCATGTCTGTTCTGGAAGCCTATTGAGTTGAACACCACATCCACATTATAGTTTCTTGGGGGTAAAAGAATTGTTCCATCTAAGCAAATCCTTTCTATTTCTATCCAGGATTACTGCTCTATAACCAAATTCCAGTGCCAGAGCAGAGCTGACACAAATGAAAAATGGCTTTTGCACCCTGTTGTTCTTAGCATCTAAGTATTCTTACTGTTGGTAATTATTTGGTTTTTAGGTTTTTTCTACCCTTTGAAGGATGTGTTTTGGTGGTTTGGTTTTGGGGGTTTTTTAACTCACATTTAAGGTATGCCAAATACTTGGTTTTGTGAATGCATGCTGACAACCTCAAAAACTCTGCACTTCTAGTTCTACATGTTGTTGAATCCAGCATTCACCTGCAGTGAGGCAAAAGTTCTTCTTGGAGTTTAGTTAAAGTTGTGCCCAAGTAACAGACCACTCCTTTTTGAAGAAAACTTTAGTTCATTACAGCAAAATATTTTCTGTTTAAGTATTATAAAGGAATGCCTTCCTGGATTGCTGATTTGTCAGAACTTTGATTTCAGTTGATGTTTCCTGAGGAAGGTGTTAAATAAGGTACAGGTAGAGCAGGAAAACATGTCTGTGCCTTGTTATACAGGTTAAGTATAAAACTGGTGACTTTGGCCATCTGTCTGTAGGACAGGGTATTTTGGAGGCATTTCAGGGTTACTGTGACACCATTATTTCCATTGTAGGAGTATTAGCTGTGTTTGCCCCTCACTATTTGCCATGTACAGCTTTGGGTAAAACTTGTTTGAATGGAAAGAGACTTTTCATTGAGTGTCAGTTTGTTCAGCAGCAGAGTGGAACTGAAAATTAGCCTCTGTTCAGCTTGGCTGCCAGGTCAGTCTGAACACTGCTCTTCAGACAGCTCAAACATCCCTCTCCCTGGCCACTCTTTGGACATGCATTTTTGGGTAAATGGACACTGCCTTGACCTGTAGTTAAAGGATATCGTGTATTGTTTTCTAACAGTCTGACTGGTGAGATTTTCTCTGGAATAGCTTTTAATCCTGGCCTTGGTTACAGAAGTCCAGTTGTTGGGCCAGAGGAATTGAATTACAGGTGGAGTGAGGGCAGTGATTACTCTGCCAAGACAAACTTGTACAGCATTTTCATTTAGGAAAATATTTGACCTGTCCAACATACACATAATCTCTAGAACTATGATCCACTTCATAACTGGTCAAGCAGCTTTACCTAGAGTGTGATAAGCCATCTTGGCCTTGATGTTGCTGCTCTGCTGCTCAGTCCCTTCTTTTCCCTGGTGCCTTGTGTTAAAATGCTGTTTGTCACCTGCTGTCTCTAGGTGTACCATTGACTGGAAAAAAGGCAAAAATGTTACAGTTAAAACAATCAAGAAGAAACAGAAACACAAGGGCCGAGGCACAGTTCGGACCATTACTAAACAAGTACCTAATGATTCATTTTTTAACTTCTTCAGCCCAATAAAGGGTAAGTGTGGAAATGTAAGCATTTAGGATCCTTAAAATATGTTGTTATATATTTGTATTTATGTCACTTAAACATTCAAACTGTTTATGCTGCTGCATTGTAAAGTGCTTACTAGAGGAAGATTGGAAACACTTGCCCATCCAAACAGATGCTTTTTTTCTGTTATGCTGTAGAATTTGACCAATAGGTGTGCAGTGTGAACAGGAATCATAGTAGGGAGAGTCTCTCCTAGACTCTCTTAAAGAAGTTGACATGTTTTACCACAGGATGGCTCCATGCATCAATTTGTTTCTAACATGCAAAAGAGCTGTGTTCCATTGTTGGTCAAGTTACAGCACAGCAGTTTCATTGAATCCTCTGTGTCAAGAGACAGAACTTTCTGTTCTTTCTTTTGGGAATAATTAGTGATCCCTGATACTCCATAC